AATCAGATTTGTTATCAAACATATAATTTTTCATAGAATTTATATCATAGAACACACATATTGTACTGTATATTATAAATTTGAAATATTATTACATTGTTATCAGTATAGCAATGTTTATACCTTACAAACTATTTTTAAACATTAAATATAATATTACTTAAAATATAATAAAGTCATTAAATAGACTGTCATTTCTGTCATTCATTCTGTGGTCGTTGGGACAGCCCTTCGAGAGCTCGCACTTCGACTATCAATGGCTTTCTTAAAGGTTTTCTGTGACTTCTTAGTCATACGTTTCGGCGGATCTGTTACCTCTTCAGAGACCTGATCCACGCCATTGTTTTCATAGATCTCCGTTTTACTATCTCTAATCGACACTATAGTGGTAGTCTTAGGGCTAGTCTTAGTGGTAGTCTTAGGGCTAGTCGTAGTGGTAGTCGTTGTGGTTGTAGTTGTGGTCTCTTCATCATCACTACAATCCCTACCCACCGGACATCCATTCCCCACAACCGTCGTCAACTCATCGTCACCAGCAGTGGTCACTTGATCCTTGTCTTCGCCGTTAACCTTATCACTGGTGTCCAGAAGGCTTTCCTTAGTATTATTGCCATCGGAGTCATCCTCTGTCGTCCTATCCATCTGACTCTCACTGTCTTCTATAGATTCGTTGGCATCGATTGTCTTAATTTTGTCGGTTTTAGGCAGAGCCGGCACCGGCACTTTGGTGCCCAGTTTGCTGCTGCCCACATTCACCTTGATTTTCTCGTTTTTACGCAAGGACAAAAATTTACCAATTTTTTGGGTGTTTTTCGCAGCAATCTTTGATAGTATCCGGCTCTGTCCATCTAAAACCCTTTGAAGGTGACCACCAGGGTTAGCTTCATTGGAATCTGACACAAAATAGATTTTATTAATGATAACAATATTTTGCAATCTATATAAAATAATTTATATTGATTTATATACAAATTAAATGTATAATAAAATCAGTATAATATAAAATGATATTATCAGTAATAATATGTACTGTATTGTATTGATAATATAATGCCATACCTCCCTGGCCTAATGCCTGTCCTAATATGTCGATAAACGGTATTAATTGTGAGGACCTCTCAGTTATGGTAACCTTTTTCTCTCGATCGCTATATTCAAGCTCCAGTTCCGGATCTATAGCATCCATATCCTTTAGTACGTCATCAGGGTCTGGTAGATCAGGAACTGGTGCTGGTCGGCCACCATCACTTGTCGGCTCATTTAGACCATCGTTTGAATCATCGTTTGAATCATCACTTAGATTATCTTCTGAGGGCTGATCCGGTTTATGAGGTGCCCGACGGCATATGACACCATTGAATGTGAATTGTGTGAAAACAATGAAAATAAAAATTCTTTGAAAAGTATTAAGCATTTTAGTATTTATTAATTAATAAATACTTGTATTGCCATTTTGTACGCAAAAATATGTTTTAATTAAAATGTTAATTTTAATATTTTGTATCATATTTCAAATGAGTTACAGAATGACTATAATTGTTATAAAAATAACTATTTAAGATTTAATTAAGATTTTTGAATTTGTTATTTAATTTTTATTTTTTATTTATATTTTAGATATAATATTTTGTTAAACACTATTCACATGTAATATTAGCACTAAAAATCTGTGTATTTATGTTGAATAAATTATTTCATTCAATTGTTATTCAAATTATGGTCAATTATTAGTATATAAACAATTTAACTATATACTTTATTTTTTTTATTACCGTATCACGAAAAATATATAAAGCTAGAAATCATTCAACTTTATTGAAATCTCAAGCAATTATAAACAAATTTTATTTTAGTTTCAATGACAATTTAAATTGTAAAGCTTTAAAGCATAATTTAGATTTGATTTATAAATAACAAGGTGTATTCTCCTTATCTAGTATTTTTTCGTTATTAATTTCTTTCAGAAAACCAATTCAAATTAGAAATGTAATCAATAATAATATTAATAATAACTTATAAAGAAAGTCCTTCACTTTTCTATGAAAAACTCGTTTTAAGTCCAAAATATATAATTTAGTCATCATAAGTATTATTTCTACTTATTTTAATTATTTAGTTAAACATTTCACAATATTCTATGAATACCATTTATATAAATAAGACATTTTATTTGATATAAAATCGGTTAAAATATTAACGAAATAAGATAATAATTTATTAAAGTATAAAATACAAGTTATGTTTTAATAGTAAAGTAGTTTTCATAAAATTTTTTTACTAATAGTGTTCAAATCAAATAATAATGTTATATCATATAAAATTGGCGATTCCTACATCAATTTAATGTTTATTGACTTAATATTGTAAACAATCTTATGTCTATAAGTAACTATAGACTCTATACATTGTGTTAAATTAATGTATTGTAATTAAAATGTGCTAAAAAGGAGTTTCGAGATTTTTTTATTAGATGTGAAACATTTCAGAATCCAACCTTGAATAGGTTTATTTGAAATAATAAAACCTAGCTAATATTAGAATAATAAATGTGTGCGTAAATGTGCTGGATGGTTGAGCGATTGGGGCGATTACACTAAAAGTCCTTTTGTTTAACAAATCAATAAAATACTCCTTTAATAGCCAACTGATTGAATTGAAAAACACGTTATTCTCCGTGTATTTAACGTATGATTTAATGTCTAGTTTGGCATTGAATTCATAGAAACCATTGACATTGCATTGAACACTAGTGACGGGAATAAGGGTTTCATTGTGTGTTGGAAACGAGAAATGAAAACTTCTTAAAACTAAACAACAATTTTGTTTTCGTTTATTAAATGTTAATAACGAGCGACTGATTCATTCAAATTGTAAATGAATTTAAGGCCAAAACTCGAGCTTTTATTTTGAGTGCAATTAACTTATTCATTGAAACTATGCGTTCAAAAGTCGATACATTTCTCAAGTTTTGTGAATATTTCGGTTTATTTGTATTTATTATTTTTGTACTGATAGTCACTATAAGACTGTTAACATTTGTGTGGCGCCTGTGCTTAAGACGTGGCTTCCAGTGGTGCGGAGGCGCCAATACCTGGGCTGTAGTCACGGGCTCTACCGATGGCATAGGCCTGGAGTACGCGCGACAGTTGGCGGGAAAGGGCTATAACTTACTACTCATTAGCCGTAATCCAAACAAATTGTCAAAAGTCAAGGAGGATATTGAATTCAAGTACATGTGCTCTGTTCGGGTACTGGCGCTTGACTTCTCCCGAAGCGATATATACGATACCATTGAGGAGGAGTTCAAGAGATTGGATCAAATGAATCAAGAAATTCATGTTTTGGTGAATAACGTGGGAATCGTTTACCCAAACGAAAGGCCAGAATATATGACCAAAATTCCCAATTTATCCAAATTTATTGAGTCTATAATTAACGTGAATATCAACGCCTGCACCCGACTCACGGCACTGGTATTGCCGCGAATGGTGGCCAAAGGCCGGGGAGCCATCATTAACCTGTCGTCGGCGTCGGCACTCTATCCCATACCTCTACTGTCCCTCTACTCGGCCACCAAAGTATATATCGACTACTTTTCCCGTGCGCTTCACGAGGAGTATAAGAGCAAAGGGATTGTCATCCAGTGTGTCATACCGTGCTATGTGTCCACTAATATGTCCTACAATATGGACACCAATCTGTTTGTGCCCTCACCGCCAGTCTATGTGAACAGTGCCCTCAAAACGGTGGGCAAGGAGTCGAGAACTGCCGGCTATTTTCCCCATCGATTAGTCAGTTATCTCTACTATTGGGGCGCCGTTTGGTCCGAGATATTGGGAATTAATTTTTTGAGTAAATTTAATTATTTCCGCCTCAAAACCATCAGAAATAGGATTAACACAAAACAGGAGACTAAAGAGACTCTTGGCTTAACACAGGCCGAGGAGGTGGTGGCGGTGGACATGGATCTCACGTCGGAGTGAAATGTAATTTTAGATAACTTTACCATAAATATTAATATAAACCACATACCGCTCATAATATTTAAGATACAATTTTAAGTTATTTAAAATATTTTTTACTCAAATATTTTGTGTATTTCTTTTATTTTTGATATTTTTTGGTTTAATTTAATATTTTTTGTTCATAATGAATACAGCAAAACAAAAAATTGTAAAATATATGATATTTGCTTATAAGTTATAACCTTATTGATGACACAGTAGTGAGAATAAATGAAAAGTACGAATAAATTTACAATTTTAATTTAATTTTTCTACGAAATATCTATCGATTCACTCGTAACTCATTTTTGTGTTAAATAAAAAAACTTCATTTACAAAACACGAGGAAAAAGTCATCACTAAATGAATGATTATAAATTAAAATGCATGTCTGTGTGAGTAATTAATTGTTATTTCACTTTCGTATGAAATCACATAATTAATGATCATTATATAAAGCACATTTTCAATATATTTTGAGTGCATAGTTTTCCCGACAATAAATAATTGATTATAAAAATCGCAAATCAAATGAGATGTGAATAACTTAAGTGCATGTCTTATGTCTATAGAAAGGTCTCTAACTCTCTCTTAATGGACATCCGTCTGACATAAGGATGCGGTGAGTCTTTCAATATCTCGATGCCGTCCCTTCGCAACCATTTTCGCGGATCGACTCTTAGATTAACGAAATTAACCAAAATCTGTTCAATTGGTTCATCGGCCGACTTGTGCTCAAAATCTTTTCTCATTGACACAAATGCTTTCGGATATTCAGATCCGTTGTGGTCTTCGGCACAAATCACGGCCGCCTCCGTCACCGACCTATGGCTCAGTAGGACTGACACCAACTCCTCGGTTGAGACCATGAAATCTGTTTAATAATTATTTTATTTGTAAAAGTTATGCAAAATTTTTCCAATTATTAAAGATTCAATTAAAAAGTTTTATTCATTAGGCTTGTGAAACAAATAGATTTTAACAAAAATATATTTATTTTCATTTATAATTATCAAATGCGATATTTAGCTTAACTGTAATAAATAAATTGAAAATATCAGGGATTTCTGGTGGTGTCTGTACAATGGAAAGTGAATAATAATTTCTAATGAATACTAATAAAAGTTTTGCAATTAATTTGCGTTCATAGCCTGAAAGAGTTAATAAAAATTGCATTAAAAATGCAAAAATAAATTTATATATTCGCTCTCAAAAATTTCAGTATTGTATTGAATTTATACAGACATTACATACATTACTGTGTGTTTTAGTCGTTGTGTGATGTATTGTATTAAGAGAAATGGTATTTCATTATCCAATAAATATATATAACTATATTTTTGCGTTTAAACTTTAAGCCCAACGGGTATAACACACATGTATATAAAAGTAATATAATGTTTTAGTACAAAAGCTATAATTCAAACAATTTTTAATAAAAATCTTTTTCTCTCACATAAATCTCACTCTTATTTGTATGAATACATATGATATACATATGAATACAAGTTCTGTGTATTTATAAATAGTGGGAAGAAATCAATAAATTTCTGCTCTATTTTTGTACTTATTTTTCTTTGGCACACAAATAGGTGTATTGAATCGCATTGAATACTAATGTATGCGAGAATTTAAGATGAATTTAATAATACTTTGTAGTCATATATTTGTAAAGAAAGCAAAACACAAGTACTAAATATAGAGTCCAGTATTTACACAAAATATTAAGCTATGAATCAATGGCTAAAACCAATACTACCGTCGACTTTGACAAACTCCTCGGAGTGGCCGACGATATAAAAGAGACCAAAGCCGTCATAATAGCCGTATTCACCACTTCTCACAAAGCCGTCTGTCCAAAAAATCTGCTCACTTTCCACCTCATTATTCAGATACCCCGGTGAGCACTAATTGTTTCACGAAGTCGTCATTTAATGAGATTTTGGTGGTCGTCAACGCCATAATTAGTGTCACGACATGTGATGACAAAAAGTAATACAAAGTTTTAATTGGCATTTCATTTCCAATCTATGGCTACAAATGTGTATATAAATTGTCAAAACCTGATGACTGCGGATACATAGCTCTCCCACCGTGTTGTGAGGCACTGACCGACCGTTACTGTCCACTACTTTCATCTCAACCCCGGCTACCGGTCGGCCAATGGTCTTATGGTTGGGTTTAGTATTTGCTTCACTCAAGTACTCTGTGGTGACCCAACCGGCCTCTGAGGTTATAAACACTACACAATAAATACAACATAAAACCCATTCATTAGTCAATTAAGTGTTAAAATTGGTTTTCAATTAATTGGAGAAAACTAACATTTTCTAAAATTTTTAAACAACTCGATCACTATTTTATGTGTCTTTTCTGAGATGGCTGTGCCCACAAACCAGACATCCCTTAAGCTATTAACCGATTCTTTGTGTTCAATGCATATATGAAGTTGAGATGTTGTCAGTAAAGCACTGGTAATGCGATTCTGTTGAATGCAATTCAAAAGCCTATCATTTGACGTATCATTTGCAGCAAAGATAGCGAGTGTTGAGCCCTTAGTGATGGTGTGGAGGAATAGGTTGAGACCCGACCCGGAGTACAGGCCAGTGATGAGCACCACATCATCGGTTGCGTCCAAAAGTGTCGATTCGCTGTTTTGTAAGGCTTTGGATGCGGCGATCAGATTACGATTGGTGCGGATCACGGCTTTAGTACTGCCATCACTTGTGTTGGCAATCAGTAGAGCACAGGTATCATGAAGTGAGCCCTCGAGTGGCAGCGGAAGGAATTGGCGCTCGTATTGAAAGATATTCTCAATTATATCAAAGTTTGTGTTCAGTTCTGTCGCAGACTTCTCGTCTAATACTAACAGTTTCTGTCCAACAAATAGGTTTGTATTAATTAATGAAAAATATTATTATAATTATTGCCATTTTTTGTTTACTTTAATCGAGATCATTTCAGTGGTGATTACAGCACTGATACCGTAGTTGTAAGCATCGGTCACTAGGAATTCCGGCTCTATTCTGGTCAACACCTCATCGATTTCACCTAAAATTAACCCCAAAAATGCCGATTTAATTGAATATTTAGTTAAGGTTTATGTTAATTGTTATTACGATAAGAGGAATGGGATGGTAGGGAACAGTAGACACCGCCGGCTGCCATCACTCCCAGCATAGCGACGGCATGTATGGCGCTGTCGGGCACCAGAAAGCAGACAATATCTCCCGGTTTTAGCAGACATTCTGTTATCAAATAATAGGCCAAATTCAGTGCCGATTCGTACACCTGTTCGCCCGACCACTTGTGTCCAGACTCGCAGTCTAACTGTGCACAGTATCAAGGTAATTAATTTTAATGTGCAGGTAAATGTGAAAAATGTGTGTTGACTTTTTTCGCTCAATTAAATATGACTTTCTATTTGCTATCCGTAGTCATAGCATAGCTACAGGCAATGGATAACCTTTAATGATACCGTAAAAAATGAAAAGTAAAACAAAAATCTTATGATTTGAATCAAAATCAGGTCTCTATTATAATGCGCCAAATGTTTGTCACATATTTTTTCGCTAAAATGCATTCAGTTTGAAAGAAAACATTGAAATATATTTATTTATAAAAATTTATGGTATTAGTAATGATTTATGCTACAAATTTTATAAGCTATAAGTTATAGCCTATAACACAAATAGGACTTGATAAAAAAAATACAGGATATATTAGTTTTATTTATTCTATTGACACAATCTTGATTTTTATTATAAACATTTAGCAATTTTAGGGATTAAATTGACATTTCTATGTACATTTGTTTCAAGTTTAGGAAATTAAATAAATGAGTAGTTATGGAAAATGTATCTATTATACTTTAATGTAATATTTTTTGTAACTTATTAATACTTAACTAAAAATCACATTTAAACAAGTTAGAATTTTCCAAGGCTATTGCACTTGAATTAAATAGAAATTGACAATAATTATTAGATTTAATATTAATATTGTACTTAAATTACGGTAATAAAAAATAATTTTTAATTTTATATGATATTTATAATATAATATTTCTTATTAAATCAAGTAACAGAAGATACAATTTAAATAATTAGCCATAAATAAATATTAATAATTACTTACAAACATAGTCTTATCATACCATTGCTTAAGTTTTTCAAACAAAAGTGAACAAATAGTTTGATTATCTGTTTTCTCAAACTTTAATTTTGAATTTACAATCAAAGAGGACATTATGTCGATATTTATAATTAAATTAATATTGAAAAACTATTTTGTTAGTTAGGAATGTAAGTTATGTTCAAACTATACCATCAACTACTAAACTATTATGACTATAATGATTGAAACGAGTGTTATGTTATAAAAGATTTTATCATTAAATATAATGTGTCTGTAAATAGATATCCAAATTGAATGGCAAAAAATGTTTGTTTAAAATGAGTTTCTAAGGTATAAACATTGCTATACTGATAACAATGTAATAATATTTCAAATTTATAATATACAGTACAATATGTGTGTTCTATGATATAAATTCTATGAAAAATTATATGTTTGATAACAAATCTGATTTTTGTTAAACAAAAAGTACTATATTTCATTTGAAAAATGTCTCAAAACTAGGATACATTATATTCTGCCATAAAACATAAATGATATGAAAATATATATTAAAATATTTATAAATTAATGTTTGTTTTGTTAATATTGTGTATAAAATGTGTTAAATTCTGATTTCTGTTAAACTTTTAGTACTAGTATGTAATGTATTTGAATCAAATTAGCTATAATAAAAATTGAAAAAGTTTTATAAAAATTTCTTTTAATCTTTAAATAAGTATTTAAAATGTGAAAATAAATAACCAAAACGTCACCCATCATTAGGTTAATAAACTTAGCATGAATTCATATTAATAAACAATTGATTTCCACTTATTTCCTAATAGTTTAATGAAATGACAATTTCTTAAAAACAACATTAAATGGTCTAAATAATATAGCATTTAGACATATAATATGACATATTACAAATATACCCAGTATTCAGTGGTACACTAATAGTAATAAATGGGTTATTCTACATAAATGAATCGGAATATGAATTACACTATTATAATAAAATTTATAAATTAATATTTCTTTAAAATTCAAACATTTAATGAAAGTTTGTTTATTTAAATGACTAAATCCTATGCCCGACTTGACGTTCACACCATTTTCTGTATTCCTTTTCCTTTTAAATTAATATTATTAATGAATGATTAGTGAAAAAAAGTGATTTACACAGAAAAACGCACACTTATATATACATTTGCCCATTAATTTAGGTTAATCTATGAGTGCCATAGACTATAAACACCGGTTTTTATGTGTTGGAGCACCCGATGACATCATATAAATCCAGTGGATATGCCATCGATTGTCGATTCAAATCACACATATATTTCTTACTGACCGACATATATATTATATACATTTCGGTCGACTGGCGTTTATCTCGAGAGAAAAATTTTCTATTTCATTGATTTTATGTTAAATTTTCTCAATTTTGTTTTTTATTTTTATTCTCGATTCCCTGCGATAAAGTGGATATTAGTTAGACAAATATATTCTCATTATTAAGTCTATAGACATCTCGAAATTGTACAATATAGTGAAAGTATCAAAAAAATTAATTAACTAAATTAATATGTCATCCAAAGTGATTGTAATAACTTTAAATATAATTTTATTGTACAGTAAGACAATTGATTTCACAAATGCTATTATGCCTAAGTTACTCGTAATATTTGTTGATCAAAAAATTGTGATAAATTATGTCCACAGATGTAATAACCGACGGAAAGAAATGCAATGAAAAGGACGCCTCGAAAGCTGACGTATGTATGGGTCAGATGTTGATGATTGGGGACAGGAGTCAACAGTTTCGGGAGACTTTGGACACAATGCATACGTATTGCAAGTGTGGACTAAATTGTTTTCATACGAAATTTACTGTATTAGCATTTTTTCATATCATTAAAAAATGTCTTTATTTTATCATTCATTTAAATGTGTCAGAAATATCACTGAACAACAGGAGTGTGTGAAACGGTATGCCCGACAGTGTTTGTCCCGTTTCTCGCGACAGGTGACCAATCTATTGGTGTTTGGTGTGACCAAAGCCAACAAACCCCTGTGCGGTAGTGATGCCAATAAGTTAGCCTTCAATAAGGCGGCCAAATGTGGGAACATTAACATCGATGACAAACACCAATGTATGGATCGCTTCATTGATCACCTCAAGCGCACTGAGAGTGAAACGGGAGATAAGAAAATACCATTTGTTTGTTGGTATGGATTGAGAAGTTTTTTGTGTTATCTTTTGCACAAAATTATATATTTTCCCCTAAATTGGCAGTAATTTCTGGAAATTCAAAGACTGCGTGAAAGACACGTTTGTGGGCATCGACTCCTCCCGATGTCCGAAAAAGTCTGTCGACGCCATCCTGAACCTCATATCTGGCTATTCGAGTGATGTTTTGGACCTGATATGTGCCGACTTCGACGATGGAAGCGCTAAATGCAGACAATTACTGAATACCATTAACACCACTAATAATACTAATACTAATCATACGATGAGAAGTACATCGCGTAAAGTGAAGCCTAAATCGCGTTCAATATTACCCTCTTTTATCAATATATTCGCCAATTTATAGATTATATCAACAATTCATTCAAATAAACTAATATTTTATTCTCTCTCTCTCTCTCTCTCTCTCTCTCTCTCTAACTTGTGAATAGTGTACAAAACAAATCCACACTTTTTAATGAAAATATCAAAATTGTTAGACAAACATCACTTTAAACGAGATATCATTGTATGAAAAGACTTTTAAAAACTTTTTTGGTGTCAAATAAGTTTTTAAACTTCAATCCCATTACCATTACGTCATTGTATTGGCTATTAGTGGTTGTGATGGCAACCAGTGATGACATAACATATGGTTTGAGACAATCGTCAATAAAAACAAAATATTTGATTTGTCTTATAAAACGCCATTCATTTGATCCCTTGACCTAACCATCGGTGTCTGGAGATATGCGACAGACATGACCACCGCCGACACTGACTACCACTTCATACACGCGTTGGACATCGAGTTGGAAGAGCTCAACGACAGCGTCCAAGAGTTTTGGATCAAAAATGGGTGTCTTGTGGCTGAATGTCAACAGTTGTTGTCTCGCGTCAATCGCCACAAGACTAACAGTCAGATCGCGAAGAGTGTGGGAACGGGTGTGTCGGGTGTCGGCGCCATCGCCCTCATCAGTGGCATAGCCTTAACCCCATTCACGGGCGGTCTGTCTATACCCGTGTCAGCCATCTTGGGCTTCGGTGGCGGCGCCGCCACAGCCATGGGAACCGTTACCACTGTTGGCACTGATGTCGTCGACTACTTCGTCTCCAAGAAGTTCTTCACGCGATTGAGTCGATTGGCTGCTGAGCGCAACACAAGTGCCGTCGCTTTGAGTCAAAAGTTATCCCAATTTGACATCTCTTTGAAGCGGACCTACGGTTTGAATCGTGTGAACGATGTCTTCGACGAGGGATTAGGTTTTGTGACACTTATAAACCTCTTGACGAAGAGCACTACCAGTGCCTATAGGATGGGAACCAATTCAATCAAATTGATTGATGCCGTCAAAGAGTATAACGCCATAAAAGTGGCCAAAACTCTCAAAAGTGTTAAATCGGAGGCCAATGTCATGCAAACGATGGCCAGAAGTGTCACCTCATTGTTGCCCACAGAAGCCAAAGGTTTGAATTGCTTTATAAATTAGTCTTAAGTATCAGTGATTAATGGTTTTGTGTCTCATTTACGGTAGGCTTGAGCACAGGTCTGGCGAAGACAGCGGTTCCGTCGACCGGCAAATTGGTTCTGAGAGGAGGAACGGCTGCTTTAGGGCTGTTGTTTACAGTCGTGGATGCGGTGGTGTTGGTGAAGGACTGGAACAAAGCCCACCCGACCGTCGAAGCCATCAATGGTTTGGTTGAAGATCTGGAGTCGGACTCAAAGCTCATTCAATCGATTCATACGATGATTACGACGGCTTTCAATGCGGATCTCATTAATGATGAGTTCATCGATGAGATTCTCAACGCTATTGACTGCACTGGTAGTTGTCCTCCGGAAGTGATCACAATCAAAGATTCTGATGATGAGGACAATGGCATTAGTGTTAATTTGAAGCATAAAAGTGTTTCTTATAATAAGAGTTACGAAAATGAACCATAAATTAATATTTTATATTTTAGATGTGATTTTAAGTTTTATACGAAAGGTTTTTACCATATATTTTACGAGAATTGTATTAAATTTATAAGAATTGTTTTATAGAATTTTTATTTACTAGAGTACAACTGTAGGCTCTAGGATAAAATTTTTAATCTAACAGCATATGTTTTATGAGGACTTCAGTGTTACCGTATATGTTATAGAATTTACCGATAATTACCATTAGCTTTATATACCAAATACACATTAAATTGAGTTTTTGAACTCATAGACTGCAAAATTCGTCCAAGACATCAATAATTCAATAATGATCAAATCAATTGATACAATGACTAATAGTGTGATAGTTACGTAATGCTAATCTCGTTAATAATACGACAGTTTTATTGACGAGATACTTAGCTCCTAGTATATCGACCATCAGTAGTTGTGATCCAGAAATCATTATAATCGATGATTCATATGATGACCACAACTGAATTAATGATAATTTCAATGATAAGAAGTATTTCCTACATTGTAATAAGTTTTATCATTTAAATTCAATTTATTATTTCCGATGATTTTTTAATTGTTTAAATATTATATTTCTCAAAAATTATTTTACTAACATTTAAACTTTATGTAATTAAAATAATTGCTTAAATACATGATTTGAAATTTTATTAAAATATTATTAAAGTTAAATTAATAACTTTTGTTTATAATTTTTAATTTTAATGACTTTTTATTATCTATAGTATAGATACTATGCCACAAAATTCAAACTTTAAGACTTATTTTGTTGTATTTTGTAAGACTATCTTATACTGTAAATTATAAGTTATAATGTGATCAAAAACTGTAATATTTTTCACTTAAAAATCAAATGCTTTCACTGTTTTGGCACAAAAGACAACACATTTTGAGAGAAAGTAGATATTAATTATTACAACAATTTATTGGCAATTGTCTCAAATAATACAACAATTTATAGGTAACCACAACATTCATTGGTTTTAATTGTATAAATGCTATCAAATAAATATAAATATATAACAAATGACTGTTATTTAACTCATACATGTATTTAAAAGTATTATTTCTCAATTAAAACTAATTTTGAACCGTAAATGGGTTTATGACACGAGACTAACACATGATTTGCTGATTGACTACAGAGTATGAGTGGTTTGGAGCTGACGGTCGTCGTTATGATGACTGTCCTATTGTCGGCTATACTTGGGTTCGGCGCCGGCATGTGTTACGGATTGTGTCTCTCGGAGTGTATGCGCCACAAGAAAGCAGTGGTCATCGCACCGACACCTGATTTCCGTGTCTATCGTCGTCCCATACCTCCCCCTCGTCCGCGACCTGATGTGGAGTTTGTTTAGATTCGTGGCATTCATTGTCTGCTAAATCACTGAAGTTTCGCAAAGTTTTGTGGTTATTATGTCGTTATACTTGTCATTCATTTCATGTAATTCAATAGAAATTTGTGTTAAATTATACGAATATATGAATATTGTTGATGTAAATGTTTAAAAGTGTCATAATTTTCCTCTGAATTAAGTCATTAATTTTGTATAAAATAAAATACTTTAGAAATAATTTTCTGTAAATTTATGAATATTTGTCAATAAAATGAAATTTAAAAAAAATTAATATTTTTGTTTGCGATAACTACAATTTTTACATTAATTGTCATTTAAATACTAAATTAAATGATTTATTAAATGATTCAGTGATTTATTGATAATCAAATAAAAATCTTGATTTCTCACACATTGTTTTCTATATTTAATTAAATTGGTTTTTAAATGATAATGAACTTGATATAAAAATGATAATGTAATTTTATTTTAAATTAACTAGTTATTTTAAATAAGTTTTTTAATAGTTAAATATTTTATTTTAAGAAATTTTATTTTTCACTTATATTTTGCACACTTATGGAGACATTAATAGATAGAAAAAGTTCATAATTTCAATGTAAAAGATTAAAGCAGTGCCGACTATGGGGGATCCAGGGGGTATACTGAAATACCCCCTGAAACAAAATGGTTCAAAAAACATTATACCAATGCAAGGCCCCCTGACTGTGAAATGTAGCCTGGTCATCACTTTGAATAAAAGCCGAAATCATGTGATCATTAAGTGAAATATTTGGTATAAAAATGACTAAACTTTTGATTTCCGGTTCACTTGAGTTGAGAATCAAAGCACATTTTTGTTGTAAAACTACTCAAAAGTTTTACTTTTATTTGATTGCAAATTGCAATTGACTTTGAATTTAATTGCGATTAAACTCTGGTAATTAAAAGCTTGTTTTAGTTACCGTAACAAATATTTATTTAAATAACTCTTATTAAGTAAAATGCAGTGTTTTATAAGATTTTGAATTTTTTCAAATTATGTCTCATTTGTAGATTGGATCCATAATTATGTCTGTATTCCTGTCGGAAGGCCTGTGGATCCTTATGATCATCATTTACTTCTTCCTGTCCATCATATACGGGTGCTATTTGGTGCTCAAGATGTACTTCATGTACGTGTTGATGGCACAGACACACGGTTTGTCCGCTCATCGCCGGCCCGACCCTCCTATCAGTGCGGTCTTCAGTATGTGAAGCATTGGCCGATCACTCGACTATTATTATGATTATAATTATTATTCATTTCATTTGTATTCAGAATATGTTTTCAATATAATCAAAACTCATTCATTATAATTATTTGCAAATTCTTTTTTTAATTCATCACTCAATTTATGGCAAAATTATTGTATTAATTATATGTTAAATCTAATCAATGTTTGTTTTTTTCAATAAATAATATCAATTACTGAGTAATTGACTTACCATTTATTTCTCTAATTGTTTATAATTATAAACTTTAAATATTTGCATCAAATAAATATTTATATCATATAAAAACTTATAATTATTTCCCAAACTTAAAGCCATTTAATTTTAATTATTTAATTGTATTAACTACTGATTAATAATTTTTATAGTACGGGTACTTTGATATTCACAATTGTGATGAAAATAAATGTTACTGTATTCAATGTTAAGTCTATTTAGCGATAATTATTATTGTTTAAGTAACCAATGTTTCCATTTTTCTTATCAATCATTTAATTAATAAAATCATAAACTAATCAATAACTAATCTAGTCCATTTATATACTGTATAGTAAAACGTCAAAAAAATCCTATAATGGATATGTCATAATGACATGAATTATAAAAATATTTATAATTTCCAAAAAATGGCAAAGAAAACGGAATTAGATTTTGATACCTAATACTTTTTATGGATATTATTGCTATTTACTATAATATTTGCTATTTATTCCAAATCAATAGTAACGATAAACTAACGTAATGCTGTATATAGTATTAAAATAATAAATTACAAACTAGGATATAGCCTATCATTACTGTATTCAATAGACTATTCAATAGACAGACATTGAATACTTTGTATATTTATTCTAAAGTTTGAACAATTATATAACAGTATAATTGATGCATATGTTTAGTACTTGTTATTAAATTGTTTTATAAATTCAATCATTTTGTTCAAGTTATAAGTGTACACTTTTGTTTGATTTGATACTCAATTAAAAGTATTAAAATGACAAACAGATTACTAATACCATATAGTCCAACTGGCTGGTAAAGGCTTATTAAGGACAGAAATAGTATATTTAGTATAAAAGTTGACGAGACATTAGACGAGTGATTGAAAAATAGTCTCAAAAAACGATGCCGACAAACAAGCCTTTAGACAATAAAGGGATTAACACCAGTTGTGTATGACTTTTTATCGATTTCATGAAAACAATACTTCTAAGGGATAGCGTCTAAAAGTAGTGAAACTTTATGTCCGGTCTCAATGATTTACAACTGGTGTTAATCCCTTTATTGTCTAAAGGCTTGTTTGTCGGCATCGTTTTTTGAGACTATTTTTCAATCACTTGTCTAATGTCTCGTCAACTTTTATACTAAATATACTATTTCTGTCCTTAATAAGCCTTTACCAGCCAGTTGGACTATATGGTATAATGTACAGTATTAGTAATATTTTATGCAATATTATGCAAGTTATTTAGTTGTCAAACATCAGTATTCAATGAATGTTTAATACAGTATTTGTTGAACTCTTTGCATAATAAGTTTCATTAAATTGAAACAAATTTTAAAACATTAATACAATAATTGTGTGACCACTTCGAGTTCTTAAGAGGTAACATATATGGATCAAGTATCACTTATATACATTTCATTAAGTTATACACTATAAATAATTATGTTAAAGTTTTTCAAACTAAATAATATATTTGATGATTTGAAATATTTGGATCAGTTATTGATTCACTGGGAATGACTCAATCAAATAATAAAGTAAACTACAAAAATGAAATTAAGATTCATTTGTTGGTGTTATCAATACTGTATATACAATGTATACATACATACATACAATGTATTTCACAGAAAGTATTTTAAATGTAAATACTTTTTCACTAAATATTCAAATCTTTTAACACATTTATATGACTATTTCTAATTGAATACCGGTACAGTAACAATTAAGTTGTATACTAAATCACCTAACTCAATTCAATGTACATATCTATCAATTGTATTCATATTGTGTTCAATACAGTGATGGAGAAGATCTACATATTCGTCATCATATTCGTGGCCATCTGTCTGTCCATTAAATTCATGTACTGTTTCACCGCTCTTTGTGGACACTTTAAGTGCTTCACATCAACACATCACACCGGGAGTACAGCACCGGTATTGCCCACCATCTCTGGCTATCGAATCATCCAATCGGCGCCGGCAGCTATTATCTGACATCTCCTCGACACTACATTTTCTAATGGTTTTCAATTAACTTATTTTTCTAAACAAATGTCTAATACTTGTAAACTACAGTAATAGAGCTTATTGTCTACTGTACGGCACAGTTATCACATATTATAATAGCTTCGGTATCATTAAAAACTTGGCAAAAAGTATTTATAATCAAATAAATGTAACAAATAATTCATATTTGAAACAAAAAATCTTAATTTATTTCAAATTCAATCAAAACAAAGAGTTATTAAAGTGACAAAAAACTGATCATTTATTGGGACCAATGATTGCTTCACTCATTATCCTCTTCGTCGTCCTCCTCCTCGTTGTTGATCTGGAAGTATCGCAACTCATAGATGTCTTTAGCGGTGGACACCACTCGCAGCCAATCCCTCAGATTATTCTTCTTGAGGTACTTTTTGGTCAAATACTTGAGATATCTCTTCGAGAAGGGGATGTCACTCGTGACACAAATCTTGGACTTTGTGCGCTCGACAGTCACCAGATTCGACAGGTTCTGTGTCTTACCGTTCACTTTGATCCGCTCCTTCAGGTATGTCTCCTTCAGATACAGACAAACAGTTCAGACATTTGTGCAAAACGTTTCATAAAATGCTTATGAAGTCTACACATCATCTCATTTAGTCATCGACCAAATCAATCATTCAATTATCACCGAAACAACCACTTTCGCCATCAAATCATAGGCCAGTGTGCGAAGCGGGGGTTAACGGGAGGCCTAAACGGGTCTCAAGACTGTGGCAATGCGAACAACACACGTGTTGCCTATGAAGTGATGGCCAAGTGGTACGTCTGGTGCGGGAAGCGATGGTGACGTACGAAGTCTGAGGCGTTCATAATGCCGTCCTCGACAGGTCGGGAACAGTCTAACCAGTACTTCAACTGCAACTTCTTTCGTTTGCCTCCTTTGCCTCCCTTTCCCTTCGGGTGCGC